CGCCGCCGCCGCCGCCGGCCCGCCCGCCGGCCCACACGCCGCGCACAGCCTGCGACAATCAGGAGAGACCGTGCAGCCCGCGGACAGCGCTGAGGTGAAGCTGGTTGCCGATCTAAACCGCATCACGCCCATCTTCCGTTTGTGCCATATACGAACGCAAATTCATCGTCGCCAGCAGTCCGTTGAATAAGTTCTCTAATATTACTCTTTCGTAGCTGCATTCCCTTTCTTATTTGTTTTATTGTTTTCCGTTCTGTGTAGTAAGTTGAAGTAATCTTCCTTCCGCCAACTTCTCATACCCTAAACTGATTTCTATCGTCCTAACATTAATATATTCAAGTCATCTTTGATTTTTTACGCGTAAATGATTTTTCAGTCTTGTCGTAGTTTGAACCCAATGAACTCGGGTTAATCATTAACGAGTACAAACAAAATCCACTTTGTTCGTTTTCCGGGTAAAAAAAACGAAAAAAAAATGTTCTTTGAGCTACGGGATTAAGTTGACATGCCTTCTAGAGCACTACTCGGCCGGGAGATTGTGAATGAAGATGATTTGTGTGTTTCGACGCTGTCCCACGACGGCCTATCGGCCGCCCATGGGGTGCCCGGCCCTGCGGCACGCCGCCGTCTGAGGCTTAGATGATGGTTGAGGACGGCGAGAGGACGAGGGGAAAACAAACCAAGCCACGACGGACGTGCAACTGGAAATCGCCAATTGGAAACGGACAAGGAACTCTATTTTGATCTCATAACCAGGGTTTACCCCATCCGGGCTGTGACCTACGTTAACAAGCGGACTGAAGCGCCGCGGACGGCGGGGTCGGCTTGCCGCCCGTCGGCCCGCCGCCCCGCCGCCGCCGGCCCGCCGGCGTGGAAAGAATGTGCAATTCTTGTATGCTTTGCTGTCTTCTATCACGTCCACTGTAGACACTGAGAAACTGCGAAAGCATTTTAAGCATTTTCTTGGTTATTCTGATGTAAAGAAGTACGTTATATGAATAAGCACAATTATTCAGTGGAAACAAAAGAAAATCCTTTTCACATTTTGAAATATCTTTGTGTAAAATGTAGTATATAGAAGAAATATTGTTTGTTTTCATGAAATATATAATTTAAAGAGCAGTGCCAAGCTGTACCAAACTTGTACAATTAAAACTTGAAATAATATTAACCAAATTAAGTGTTTCGTATTGTGTATCAATGAAGTATTCACTTTCGAAAGTTGTATCATTCATTGCCAGATTATGATATTATGAAGTCCCTTTAGTTTTTGATTTACTTACAAAAGCAATTGCTATTTCTGTAAAACAAAGCTCTCAACGAGTACGTTTGTGTTTGAATCAATTGCAGTATAATGCAATTTTGAATTATGGGAATGAATGAGATGACATTCCGAAAGTGAATGCCAGAAATAATATTCCTTCATTTATAAACCTATGTCAGTCCCATACACAACCCTTCATTCCCCCTTATAAAAAAATTATAGAACATGGATTATATCAATCCCACCGATATTTTATTATTGCAGTGCAGTACAATACTTTGGGTAGTATCAATACTCTATCCATACTATATCTAGAGTCTCAGGGCGATTTTCATAATTCTATTTATCATACAATACATATTGTAACTAATTTTCAAATACAAGATTCGTTTGTGACTAGAAGTCGGTTTTGAAATCTGACATTTGTAAGGAGTTTGAAATTGAAAGGGCCGGACATGTGTAAGGCGTTATGAGGCATTTATATGAGACTCAAAAAAACGTGCACAGAATAGATGTCTCCTCGTAGTGAGGCGCACACGGGTTTAACATTTTTTTACGTTAAAACAATCAATAAATATTCCTAAATTTTTCATTTTGTGTATTCCTGACATCGCTTGCGTGATTATCATTCCTTACTCTTTTATTCTATAATTCAATACATAATAAAATATTTAATAAATAAAATTTGAAACTATTCATTTTTAATTTGAAATTATTTGTATAATTTGAAGAAAAAATAGGATTTTCCTTTAGACGAACCGAGTAAGTTTACGACGATATTTTTAAAGAAAATATTGGAATTAAATTAATATATCGTTGATCCACTGATTCAAAGTTACATTCATGAAAATTTGTATTCGGGCATTAAATTGGGGAAATAATATTATAAACCAATATACATTAATTAAAAAGGTATTGATATGCATTAGAAATATCGCAAAAGATTTTGTACGAAAAGTAAATACGTAAAGTTTTCTACATCAAATGTTCAAAGTGTTCAATATTTTCAGTACACATATGACATACCCTAAGCACAGAAGAACATATATCAATGATATTGTTGGATGGTAATGTGTCAAATTGAGAAGTTATTCGATCTTGTGAATGCAGCATATTTCTGATTTTATTAGAATACATTTTGTCTTTTAGAATTACCCACGCCGAGAAATCCATTGAAGTGAGATCCCGTGAACGCCCAGACCATACAGGGGTACTTCGCCTTCTAATCCAATCTCAGAATTATCATCCAAGAAACCTCTTATGGTGAGGTGGTGCACCATCTTGTTACCATATTGATATAAGAATTGGCCTTAATTGCACAAATAAAGAATGTTCCATAAAAGTTTTGAATACTCCATCACGTAATGTATCATTCAAGGTAATTTTCAGCTATCATAGTATATTAAAAAATCAATGTCCAATAAGGCCACCGGCATAAATTCCTGTTCGCACAGTAACACCAGGGCCATTGGATTCGGTCTCCACGACCATGTGAGTTTTCTGAATTCAGTCAGACGCAAATGTGTTCTGTTCACTCTCCCATTAGGTTTAAATGTTGCCTTACGGCTTCACAGAATGGATTGGTAAAAAATGTGGTAAGTTTCTTGTCTTGTAGTACCACTCGCAGAATTCTTTACATCTATCGAGATCACCGTCATTCCGGTCTTGAAGCAAAGTAGGACGATATTGTTAAAGATCTAGAAATTTGAACATCCTTCGAAATCTTGTTGATAAACCATATTCAGTCGATGCCTTTCGTGCAAATGTTGTTCGAGATTGTATGACACTTTGGCCTCCTGTCAAAACGATTTTCTTCTGTAGTAACCGATTTCGTTCTACCCGATCGCGGAATATCTGTTACAGTCCCTGTCTTTTCAAACCTTTTATTCAAGTTATGAATTGCTTGCCATATCGGCGGTATTGTGTTGGGAAATTGTGGCACAAATAACCCACTCACATCTTGATAATTATGGTCATGTAACCACCACTTTTGATTTAAAAATACAGTTCATTCACTGTTCACTTTGTATTCATGGTAAACGCCACTAATTGGCTGATTAATTACTTCACGGAAACACCTAATACTACGTATTATTCACTAACATCAACATATGCTTAAAACAAAACTCCATAGGTATTCTTATCTCGTATCTTACTACTCTAATCAATAAACTAATGAATAAATTGTAATATTAAACGACCAATTGCCCACATGTATTTGTCGGCAAACTTTGTACTCTAGCACCTAAGTCCTTTAAGACGTCTCTTGTAAGATGAGTTATAATTTCTCCAAATTAACACTAGTGTAGAGGAGTAATATCTTTTCCATTACGTCTATTGTCAATACTTGCATGAATGTGATACGATTTTTTATCTTATCCGATCCCCTTTGAATGCTATTCACTTGCGAAGTAAATAGCATTCACGTTCGAAGTGAGTAAACTTGTTCATTATTGTACCCAATGTAGTGGAGGTTGCCTAGCAACAGTTACTTTAACTAATCTGTGGTCACAAAGTATAGCTTTACTCATAAACGAAGAAACAAAGTATCAATATTCAGTTACTTTCTTCTTCTTCTTCTTCTTCTTCTTCTTCTTCTTCTTCTTCTTCTTCTTCTCTCTTTTTTCTCCTTTGTCTTCTCTTCTTTCCTTCTTCTTCTTCTCTTTCTTCCTCTTATTATCATCTTCTCTTTTTTAATTCTCCGTCTCTTATCTTTCTTCCTAGCTTTTTAACTAGGTCGAATTCAGTCGCTGTCTAGAGGAGAATTCTAGCGGTCGGCTTTTCTGATCGGTAGATTTCAGTCGTTTCTCTTATCAACCAGGCGAATGCCGAAGCAATACCCTAACAAACGGCTCCCGGATGGCGCGCGATCTTTCTTTCCACTTCCTTGTCCTTTCCTCACACACCTCCCCTCACACATTCACACACTTACATGCCCTACACTAGCGCACATGTTGACTGACCAGCGGGAGCAAAGATCTTGTTCCTCTGGGGCGATACCCTTCTGGGCGGAGATATTAGCAGGGGGATAATCTCCACAAGATGACGTATTGGTCGGCACTAGATCTTAACATCCAGAGGGGGAGGAATTAACGCCATCTTCCGAGATAGAACTTTCACTACACAAACGGACTAATGACCGTAGTAAGTTGAGGTGCGCGGAAACATGAGTCCTCTTCGTTGTTCCTCTCCTATTTTTTCTCATCTGTTTCGTTCTCATCTTTTTTCTCCTACTCTTCTTTTTCTTCCACAGCCTTAGCATCTTCAATTCTAGTATTTTCGGGAATTTCTTCAATCATCATAATTGCGTTTCGTTGGCTTTCGGCTTTGA